TTGACGGTGGAGTGGTCGAGGCCCGATCGTCGTCCTGACCCCAACGACCGTCTGAGCCGAGTGGAATATGTTCATCTTTACAGAGACGCCCACGAGGTCCCCGACATGAAGATCCCATCGTACATCGGGAGGACGGCGTTGTTCACAGACGGCCTGAGAGAAGGAAACATCTCACTAAGAATCATTAATGTGACACAAGAAGATGAAGGAAGATACAGATGTTTCATCCCAAAGTTAAAGAGTCGAACAAAGTCTTCAATTGTTCATCTGATTGTTGGTGAGTTAGACTGAAAAGATTTTTGTTGTTTGGTTTCAAACTTGCCTTAAAGACCGGTGTGCTTGGGTTATTTTACCAACAACTTATTTTGGTGTTGCTCCTTAAAAACGTCTGGATATTATTTTATTGTAAATAATTAAATGTTCTTAAATCTTATATTCAGCTGAAACTATGACAACAGAGACACCACTGCATCCTGAAACTCTCCAAACTCCTGAGCCGATGGACGAGTTTCACAGTAAAGGTGAGAACATGAGGAACAAATCAAGACAATTAAAAAGTCTTGAAATGGATCTAAATTACCTTTATGATGCAGTTTTCTCTCACTGATGGCAGCCTCTCTGTGTAGTCCTCAAAATGTCTAATGTGTGCAGCTTTTATTTTGAAGCACGGTTGAAGCTCTGTAGATCTCTTTATTTATTTCTGTGAAGCAGTAAATGTATCAGTTATTCTCTTGTGGATTTTGACAAAGTCGTGTTTGCTGCCCTGAGAATTCTGGGACTTGTGGTATTAAAGTGACCATCGGGACTGATATCTCAGTAATTCTAACTTCATTTCACTGTTATGTAACTTCATGTAACGTCTGTGCTTAATAGTTTAATAAATGTGACGTGTCATGTTGTGTCTTACAGTAGATCTCATCTGTGTTTTGTTTTTCCTGGCAGGTGGTTTGTCCCGTCGGAGCCGACTGATCCCACTTGTCGTTTTCTGTGTTTTTATTCTGCTCTGTGTCGCAGTCGCAGGACACCGGTTCATTGAGTTGAAGCATTGAAAAACAGAAGTATGATTAAGTCTTAAATATTTATGCATTTACCTCATGGCTGAAGGATGGAAATTAAGGAAAACTGTTTGTGTGTCTGTTCTTTGTTACTCCAGCTTGCGAGTGCAGCTTTGTAGGTGGACACATTGGAAACATTAACAGAGGTGCAAGCATCACCCACTTTACTTGAACGTTAATTAAAAGCATTGATTTTTCCAGCCTCATTTGGACACAGCAGCTCTGCAGCAGGAGGATTTCACTATGTCCTGTAATTTGCTTGGAGTCAACAACAACCATCCTTTTTGCCAAAGTTGACTTCTGGGATCAAACTTCAAAAGCGTGAGGACCTACAATTTTGATGCCTTGCTCATGGGCACATTGGAAACATTAAGAGAGGAGAAAGTGCCAACTTCTTACTTACTTTGAGCTGTTCCTTATTTGTTTGAGGAGCCGAAGAACTTTTCCAGCCACCTGTGGGCACTGTGGGCCTGCAGCAGGTGAATTTCATGACGTCCTGCAGTTTGTTTGGACCTGAATTCTACCTTTAATCCCTGTGATGGTGCCTGAGATTGTATGACTGGTCTGGTGACTTCCAAAGGGTTTAACCACAGAAATAACATCCATTATTTGAGTC